AGAGACAGAGACAGAGACAGAGAGAGAGAACCTGAAATGGTACAAGTCTTTTAACTCTCAAAGCCTGCCCCCACTGTCATACTTCCTCCAGTAAGACCACACTCCTAAACCGACCCTAACAGTACCATGAATTGGAGACCATGTATTCAAATATACTAGATTATGGGAGCATCTTATTAAAAACACCACAATAATATCTGATATAATTTGCTCTGAGCATCCTCACTGGACTATATTACTGTCTGAAAAAATATATCACCATGTTGTGACAACACAAATGTTACACAAAGGCAAAACCCACAAGGTTACATACTTCCTGCCTTTGTCCAATCAGGGGCAAACATACATTCTGACATATTTCCTGCCTATTGCCTCCTCCCTACATTTGATCAAGCACATCCTATGCAGTTGGAGCAACCAAGCTTGTTTACAGCTGTGAAAATACATGACTTGTTCTCTTACATGAACAACAGCCCCAGCATTCCAGGAAGTTATCTGTCCTTGGGCAAGTGGGGTATACAGGTTAGGGGCATGTTTGTTCAAGAGATCTCTTGGGCACAGCAATTTAAACTTAAAGCATAACTTTAGCTCTCACAGAATGAGAGTAAGGAGTGGGTATGAGTTTGTGGGTAGTATGGTTAGAGAAATCTAATATTGTTTTAATCCCACCCCTGTGCAGAAACAAAATCGGAGGGCACTGCTTTGAGTTTGATTGTACAAGGTAGCTGAAAGGGAAGCCATATGTCATTAAGACCTCACTTGCAACCAGAGTGAGTGGCCTGTGTCAAGTGATATGGGTACACGGTTGCTGCTGAAAGTTCATCGCTAAAGCTTCAGGGATTGGTTTAAGCTGTGTTAGCTAATGAAAACATTTTCAACCTCAGTTAAACAGCAGAGAGCCTTCTTTAACTGTATCAATCAAATCATTTGGGGTGATTTATTTCCTGTCTCTGAAGGGCCGTTGACCTGTGCAGTTGCATCATGATCCATCCATTTCTGCCCCACCAACCTTTTATAAGAACTTTAATATTCTGCTGTCTTCTTCAGATTTTTAGTGATTTGGGGGTGTGTGTCTGTGTTTCAGTTTCCCTAAGGGGCTGCAAGTTGCAGAGGGGACTCTTCGATTCCTTGAGTGTTTCTTCATCTGATATCAGGAAGTGCAATGAAACTTCACCAGCTGAACTAATCTCAATAATAATAATAATAATAATAATAATAATAATAATAATAATAATAATAGTGATAATAGAGGGCCTGGGGCGAGGGTGATGCTCTTCAGGTTCTCCCAGGTCCTTGATGTTTGGCAGAAACAACTTTCTGACTGAAGCAAAATTAGTGAGTTTATCGGTTAAGCAGGAAGGCGAGATAAATCAGAACCACCCCATGTGAGCGTCAGGAGAGGATGCATCTGAGCACCTTGGCAGTAGCCGTATTTGACTCAGGGACTTTGAAACAACTTAATTCAAAACCAGATTTAGATATTAAGGGAAGCATAGGCTGGTAAACTTATTTTTCTTGCCCGAAGAATTTTGTCCTTGAAGTTACTTCCCCAAGTCATCATGAAGGCTTGCAGCTAGAGTGAAGAAACAGCGTTAGGAACAGCTTTTGAAAAAAAACAAATTTTTTTTTTTGACTCTTCACTAGGGCACCTAGAAGCAGTGTGAAAAC